ACTATGATTTACACTTTATAAGGAGGGAAAACATTATTATCTTTGCCTACAAGTGTTTATGTCTTGTTTTACACTTTTAATAGATAAACTACTGATGTACATTTTTGTTGCTAAAACTTTTGAGGATGTGAACATATTCCTTCAATTCGGTAGATACATCCAAAAACCTGAAATTGTCTATGAAAAGCTGTCATTTCTGTGATTTACTGTGTGGAATAAAGTGGATGTGTTTAGTATCTTTTGGACTTATTTATAATATTTTGTAGTTGGAAAAAAGACCCAATAATAAAACTTTTTCCCATTAGAAAAGTTTTCATTTTGCTTGTTTGGTTTTTAAAGAAATAAGAGGATCAGAGTTCTAGAACACCTAAAAGAAACATTTACCAGACCTTAAAAATTCCAGGTTTTCAGACAGAAGTCCAGAGTCTTTATAGGGGAGTTGCCAAGGACAACACCACACCTAAAGTCCCTGAAAGTCAGACTTCGTTCTGTGATGATGTGCTGTTGCAACATGCTCGCACATCATCTGTTCCAGAAAGATGCAGAGTGAGGCCCCATGTGACTGTTCATCGTTAAGTGTGGCTAGATGTTCAGACCTTTTATTCCAAGACTGTGCATTGTAACATAAAAAGGATTTACCTGTGCTTGACTTAAAGAGCCTTAATTGGCAGTATCCGTAGTTTCATTGCATTGCGTCATTAAGATTACTGGGAAATATTTGAGTCTATAATCTAAATTAACTCAGATTTAATATTGAGGAGCTAACAACAGATAATAAACGTAAGTAGAGAATCCTTTGAAATGTCTTTGCAGAGCACTTCTTGTGATTCAGAAGGAAAACTTTTGTTTTCTCATCCTTGTATAGTGCTATGGCTTATTTATTCATATTCTCAAGAATTGGAATCATGTCCTTTTTTTTAAAGATTTTATTTATTCAGTTATTTATTTTTAGAGAGAGGGGAAGGGAGGGAGAAAGGGACATAAACAGCAATGTGGGAGAGAAATATTGATCAGTTGCCTCTCATACGTACCCCAACCAGGGACTGAACTCACAACCTAGGCATGTGCCCTGAGCTGGAATCAAACAGGCAGACTTTCACTTAGCAAGTCAATGTCCAACCAGCTGAGTCACACTGGTCAGGGTGGGATCATGTCTTTATTGTATTGTTTCAAACCTGTTTTTTTGTACCTTGCGTAGTGTTACAATGTATTCATTCATATCATTCTCAAGAATTGGGACCATGTCTTAATTGTGACCAGAGTTCCTGAGATGGTTGAGTATATTTCCCCTTTGAGATTCAGCCTTCCAATGAATGATGGGTAAAGTTGAGGGAGGGTCCTCAAGTCGTACTCATTACACGTCCATTATGTTCATCAACCTACCTCACACCTGAATTATTGAAGGTAATGAGATTTTTGGCAAGATTTTTAAAAAATCATTACTTCAAAACTCACTAGTTCAAACTCTAATTGTGGCTAGATATTATAGGTTTAAAAGGAAACCCAGTTTACTAACCAAAACAAAAAAATTTAAAGCAGCCCAATGAAGCCTAGAGAATGGCAATTCTTAGGTAGCACTGATTGTTCCTACATTAATATGAGTCATTTATGTGTAATCAATGTTAATGCAGTTGTGTGGATTCACACTGCTTGACCTGAGCTCCAATACGATGTTACGATGTTACGGCATTCTCATCCATTCTCACCTTTAAACAAAGGAAACCTAGACTTTCAAGTGTAAGTTCCCAAGTAACACAATTAAAACCAAATAATGGTTATGGCATATTGGAGGGAGGAAAACCATGCAGCCATTAAAAAATCACATTGTATAAAAAAAAAATTTCTGTAGTTTTGTTGTAGTGGCAAAATATAATGAATTATTAAATGTTTGTGAAAGAAACCACAAAATAATATGCACAGAATAATAACTATTTTTATTTATAAATATATGTAATATACTATGGAACAGAATGTAATAGTTAATATAAATACACATTGTTTATACCCAGAAATATAGAGGTACATATAATTTTTGAAACAGACAAGAAAGACACATAAAAATTATTTAATAGTAAAAGTTTCTCTGTTGTCTGATGAGTAGGATTTTGAGTGATTTTTGTCCTTCCTGTGGAATTTTTTTAAATTTTTATAATTTTCTGTATTAAACATGCAACAATTTTATAGTTAAGAAAAATAGAGTATGTGCTATGTAAATAATGCACAAATAAAAGCACATTGCACATTTTTTTACTCTGTAGTTCAGGCTTTTTATAAAGTTAAATGAGCTTTATTATTAATTAATTAGTTTAAATTTTTAAACTTTTATTCTGCTAATTTGCTGCTTATTGTTTGAATGCTGAAATATGAACCAAGCAGATTTATCCTTTGTTCCATTTTAATTGGTTGGTACTTTGTGTAAAGGAGCTAAAAACGATGAGCCAGCATGACATTGCTTTAGGTTAGTCATGCTATTTAAAATTTAGTGCTTACAAGTGTGTGCACATGTTTCCAATGAAGACTTATTTGCCAGAGCAGAAGAGTACTTCCCTTAACATTTTGTGCTTCATTTTCACACTCATGTTTATTTGCTGTTGTTTGACCTGTAGTGATTCTTAAGTCTTGAAGGACTGCTGTCCATTGACAGTACAGTCGTCTCTAGAGTTTTCACCTTTGGACATTTAGAAGGTAACCTCTGCCATTCCAGAAGATAGTAGTCCCCTCTTATCCATAGAGTAGGGTATATGTTCCAAGACCCCCAAAGGATGCTTGAAACCACTGTAGTACTAAGCACTGCATATACTGTTTTTTTCCTATACTTATATACCTATGATAAGGTGAGAGATTACCAACGATAATGAATAATAAAGTAGAACAATGGTAACAGTACACTGTAATAAAAGTTACGTGGGCGCTGGCCAGGTAGCTCAAGTTGGTTAGAGCATCATCTTGATACGTCAAGGTTGTGGGTTTGATCCCCGGTACGGCACATGCAAGATTCAGCTCATAAATGCATAAATGAGTGGAACAGCAACTCAGTGTTTTCTTTCTCACTCTAAGAAAAAAAATGAATTCATAAAATTTAACCAAGAAAAGTCATGCGGATGTGCTCTGTCTCTCTCCTCCTCTCCCTTTCTTGTTCCCTCCCTCCCACAACTCTCTCTGACTCTCTCACACACACACACACACACACACACACACACACACACACCCCTCCCCCCGCCCATCTGATAGCTGGTCTAATGGCTGAGAAGGCTACTAAGTGATTAACAGCCAGGTAGTCCAGGTAGTGTCTCTACAGCTTGGATATTCTGGACAAAGGGATGAGTCACATTCCAGGTAGGACAGATTGGGACAGCACAAGATTTCATCACACTACCCAAAGAGCATTTAAAACTTATGAATTGTTTATGTCTGGAATTTTCCAGTTAATATTTTTGGAATGCAGGAACGTGGATAACTGGAACCACAGAGGGTGAAACCGCTGATAAGGGGGGACTGCTGGATCCATTTAGGTGGATCTCAAAGAGGATTCCAGTTCACCTCTGTCATTGCGTCGCTTCCCTTAGCACTTTGTTCATTGATCCTGTGGCACTGGCCACACTTTCTTGTAGTTGTTTTTGACCCTGTCTCCCCCAGGAAATGAGAGACTTTAATGATTACCATGTGCCAGAGACTGCACGACCCCTTTGCATACATTACTTCATTCAAATCTCATGATACTGAATATTATTGAAAGGAAGCACTATTTTCTCCAGTATACAAGTGGGAAAGCTAAGACTCTGGTTTTAAAGAAGCTGGGATGTGACAACAGAACTCCCATCTCTGAAGGAAGAACTGGTATCCTAAACCAGCAACCACATATGCTGTTCTCCATGAGAGGGTTAGCAGGGCAGTTGCTGAACAAGTACATCCTCACGGCCTGCCCCTGGCTGTAAAGCCCATGATGCTGCCTAATCATTTTTCTAACCCTTTTGTGAACAAAATGATTCTGTCCTGCCTGTACACACCATTCTCACAGCATTTTGAGGGGTAGATCCATTTCACTAACTCCAGATTTCAGAGGATCATTTCATGGTTAAATTTTAAGTTCCCTTTCAGGCACTGTTTCTGAGTTTTAAATCTCATATCTAATTTTATCAATAGTAAAATTAGAAGGAGATGTGATGATACTGCTTTATTTTTTAAATGCCCCTCTGCTGGTTAATAAGGATGACAATAACAGCTACCATTTATTGAATGCTTACTACTGTGATTAGTGTTTTGCAGACAGTAATCCTACAAAACAGGTGTTGGGACTTTGCCTTTTCACAGATGGGAAAACCGAGGCTTGACGAGGTTAGATGACTTACCTGATTTCACAGAGTCATTCGATCATCGGTCTAATAAAGGAGAGCATGGGAGATTTTAATCCAGTTTTTCTGGACTCTGAATCAAGACTGTCTCTTGCTAGTGGTGTTACTTTGGGCTTCTTATATACACCTACTGTGTATCACTTTCTTGACCTGTAATACAGGATGATGGTGTGGATTGAGTTACTAAACAGCAGGTACTTAGAACAGTGCTTGACACCGTATCTGCTTAATATTTGGTGCTATAAAATAATTACCATTAATATTATCGTTCACTGGATTTTAATTATTGAGATCCTATACTAAACCATAAAGAAGAATAGGAAGTAAAAAAAAAAAACCCTCTCACCACCTCCCACTTCCTCTCCCCTCCATTAACCACTGAAACCAGTTCGGTGTATATTCTTCCAGAATAATTCCTATGGCATGTGAAACTGTTTAAGTTGTCCTTTCATTAATAAAATAACAGGACTAGAGTAAAATTTTTTTGTAGTGATCCCAAGAATGGGAAAGTAGAGAGGTAAGAAGGGAGACCAATCCACTCATTCAGCAAATATTCTGTGTGCCAAGCACTCTCTGAAGTGCTGAGGATTTGGCATGTTGAATTTCTGTTTTGACTGTTTATTGACTTTTTGTTGTTGTTGTTTTTAGGACATGATGTTTCAGCTTCTTCGAGGTCTGGACTTTCTTCATTCTCACCGAGTAGTGCATCGTGACTTAAAACCACAGAACATTCTGGTGACCAGCAGTGGACAAATAAAACTGGCTGACTTCGGCCTTGCGCGCATCTACAGTTTTCAGATGGCTCTTACCTCAGTGGTGAGTGAGAAAGTGCTGTTCTTTCATTAAACTTGTCTTTCCTCTTTTGAATGACACAGTGCCCCCATTCCCTGCCCCTAATGTTGTTACTGCCAATGGCCAGCCGGTGAACAAATTGTCTCTACTTTTTTATATAACAGTGGGTGGGAGGAGAGCATTCTGCTCACAACTACAGGCTGGGCTTGTTGTGGACAGGACCCATTGCAGAAAGAGCCTGTTGCATCTTCGCTGCTGGAAGGGAGTCAGTTCCGCTCTGGCCAGGTACTCAGTGGTTGGAGCATCGTCCCAGTACACCAAGGTTGCTGGTTTGATCCCAATCAGGGCACATACAAGAATCAACCTATGAATGCATAAATAAGTGGAACAACATACTGATGTTTCTCCCTCTCTCATCAAAAAAAATTTTTTTTTAAAGAAGGGAATCAGTTATAAGTGTCCAAATGTTTTTTGCCATAACACCATTTTCAGAGCTGCATGTATGATAGCTGGGGAAAGGTAGCTCAGGGAAAAGAGAGCACCAGGAGCCCTGACTTGTCTGCAGCATCCTGGTTTGAGGAAAAGCCAGGTGTCTGCAGAGGTGTACAAAAGTACTCTTCTGAAGCTGAGGAGCTAACTGTGAAGAAAACATTAAATTTACAGTGAACTTGGAAGACCCATAAACAGGTAGCACTCCCGGCCAGGCAAAAGCTTCATCTAGGCCAAAAGAGAAATGGCTCTGTTTTGGCAAAGAATGAGAGTTACAACATCTTCTAGGTCTCATTTATACCCACAAGCGTAATAGCCATTGACTTTTGGTTAGCTTCTATTTCTCCTTCTAGTTCATTGTTTCTGAGGTGAATTTTTGTGAAATGTACGCCCAAGAGATAAGAAGAGGAGCCTGGAAGTAGGCACTGATAACCCTTCTCTCTGAAAGACCTGCTTTACATACAGTGAATTCATGCATAGATTAAAAAAAGAAGAAGAAAAAGGAATGTTCCTTTTCTGTGCTACTGACCAGGGCATAAGGTTGATGTGGAGAATCCCCTTGACTATGATGGCTATAGAAATGGCCCCCAAAGCATTAGATTTAGTCTTAAGAAAAAGAATCCTCTTGGGTAAACACGTTCGTCATTTTTCATATATAATTCATCTCTCTGGTGTTTTATTGTCATTGAGTTCTGCTTTAAAATGTTTTCATTACAGTTGACATACAATATTATATTAGGTTCAGGTGTACAACATAGTGATTAGACATTTATATAACTTACTAAGTGATTACGCTCATAAGCCTAGTACCCAGCTGACACCACACATATGGGAGGGAGATGGAGGGGGCCGGAATAGGTGAAAAATGAGAAAGGATTAGTAAGTACAGATTGCTAGTTATAAAAGCAGTCACAGGATGTAAAGTACAGCATAGGGAACATACAGTCCATATTTTGCCTTGACGGGGTTCTCAGCCTGGGGCAGCAGTACCCCGGGTGTGGAGTGTTGTTGACAAACGTGTGGCCATGTCTCTGGTTATCACCATGGCTTGGGGATGGAAGTGGCTGCAAGGAGGGTAATATTCTGCACAGCAAAATTGTTTTCCCACATTCCAGTAATGCCTCAGCTGAGAAGTAGAAAATTGGGAGGGGAATTGGAAATACTCTGAGAGATAACTTGCCTTAGAAAAACATTCAATTTACGAGTGTTCTGCTTCCCCACCCCCGAAATACAGATACTACCGCCTGGCCATGTGAGATTACATACTTTCCCAACATAACATACTTTTTTTATGTTAGGGCATCAGAATTTTTACAGGGGATCCTTTGGAATATGTCCCATTGTTAAAAGATAAATGGAGCTTGTTTCCTCTTTGTCCAGCATGCGCCATCGCTGTTGAGAGGACAAGGCACAGATGATGTTTACAGGCTACGCCTCAGCTTCGGGCCGGGTCAAGCAAGCCCTTGTGTTTTTACATAACCACACCAGAAGGGGCTGAGGCTGTGTGCTTCCCAGTGGGAAGGGTGAGGTAGGCTGCAGGCTTCCCTAGGAAGTAGTTGCGCACGTTGTTTCAGGCCCTGGGGAGAAGCTTGAATAGGCTCTATGATCCGGGCAGTCATCAGAGTCGCAGATGGAAGGAACTGATCTCCTCAGGCACATTAATTGAGGGAAGGGTGAGCCATCACTGAGACAGATACTTTATTTTGATCCTTCCAATCAGTCACTAAAAACCATAAACAAAAAGAGAAAGAAAGAAACCCAGTTGGTTTTGATTTTTTTTTTTTTTTTTTGCTTATTAAATTTGAGGAATGATAGCCCAGCTTGTGTGTAACATCAATTAACATTCCATTCTTGCTGAAAGTTGATAGGTTCAGACAGGAAAATGCAGGCAAATTATTTCATAGAGAAAAGAAGAAAGATGATCATAAATACTGATTTTTCTGTATATAGTTTGTGCTGCTTATTCTGTATTACGTATGGTAACAAAGTGAAAAAAAATTAACAACTGGAAAAGACACTGGAACAAATGCAGGCTTTACTTAAAAGTCGTGGTTGGAATTTACTGGTAATAATAAAGAGTATAATTCCTATATAGCATGGTATTTAAATTTTTTCTCATTGTATATATATTTTTATGTAAAGGAAAAAGTCCATTTAGTATAGTGATACATTGGTTCACATACACATGGTAACATATAAAGGCTTGGAACCACAATTTTCCAAACTAAACGGGTATTTATTTTTCCACTTCCTGAAAATACACATTTTTTCATGGCTTGTGTCATACAGGAACTGGAAATCAACTTAATCTGTGGAATGTTAAAGGAATTGCAAGTTAACGGATTTGAAACTGACATCTTACAGTCATGAGACATGCTAATGTACTACTTATCATCCAAACTCTGACTCAGAGATTCCCTTCTGCTACCCTGCAGAGCTTACTCCCTCCTTTCTCTTTCCATGATTTCAAAGTAACATCTTATTAGTGCCTTACATATTACTGCTCTCTGGTTTTTTTGTAATTATTTGGGGGTTAATTTGTCAGGCTGTAAGCTCCTAGAAGGAGTTGGCCTTTTGGGTAGATATTAATTTAGGAGTCTCACTGTAAGTCTGGACTATAGTTGTCACTTTAGATTGTCTCCATCTGATAAAGGAGGTGACGTGTCTTTAGGTGCCTGACCTCACTGGGCTGCTCCAGCATGACACTCGGGTGTCATTAGAGGGTATTGGGGTCTTGCTGCTCAGTGTACAGTCAGGCAGTCACATGAACCCTGTACAGAATAAGGGTTGTTTATACCTATTTCTTTAAAGGTTGTAGAATTAATATGTGGATATCCACAATGTATACCTCAGACTTGACAAGAGGGCCCCTGGCCCGGGTCTCATGCTTTAGAGGAGGCTAGGCTGGCCCTGCTCCCGCCACGTGTGAAACCCAGGATGCCAAGGAGACGTGCCGTCTAGAGCCAGAGAAACCCCCACCCTGCCACTCTGAGGGCGCTGGAATTCCTGGGCAATTCTCAAGTTCTTCCACCTAACAGCAGATTGTGCCACCGGTGTGTTCACCTCTGCAGTTGGCAGGTGTCGGGGCAGAGTGTGAGCACGTGGACTGGCAGGTCTGTAAGCATCTGAGGCCCCGTGTGGAACAAGGAGCTGGGAGTGTGAAGAGAAGAGGGGGCCGTTAGACCCAGCACAAGTTATTTTTATCAGAAGAGGTTCTCTGAAACCATGGAAATCAACTTTTGTGACCTGCATTGAAGTATTACCTTTGTGGAAACCCAAAGAGAAAAAGTAACAGGGAGGCCCTTTGCATCGCACATAAGCAATATGTAAAATTCATGACTCATGGGATTCTGTACTCTCGGTGGCAGAAATGTTTCAAGGATCAAAACACATTTTGAGATTAGCTAAAATTATATTTAGAGTCATTCTAAGGTCAAACATTTCTAAGTTCTTCCCTTGTCAATGTGGTGTATGGTGCAACTTATTTTTGTCCGTTGATACAAAAGGGAAAAAGAGACCAGCCCACTCGGCCAGCAGTGTTGGTCACACTGACAGGAAGTCTCAGAACAGCCTGGGACCTCACCAGCTACCCCATGAGGATGCTGATGATGATGAAGTGCTAGGAGCAACACCTCAGGGAGAAAGTCGTCCTCTCTGTTAATGATGCAAATTCATTATTACTTTTTTCCTAAACGGAACCGTAGCAGGTAGGGTGATACTGTTGCCATCAGATTTGGTAGTTTTGGAACTCCTTATGAACCACCTTATTGTGCAGGCGGGGAAACTGAGACTGCAACAGGCAGTTTGTGGCCAGGTTAAGTCTGAATTCACCGAACAGATTGCACGTGGCGTGGAGAACCCACCGGCCCCACTCCTTTCCTTTTCTCCCCACCGTAGGTTCTAGTGCTTCACAGTATACCAGGCTGTGTTCTTGAGGACTCTCTGGTTCTACACAAAGGGTGACCGGAGGTTCCACAAAAGTTCCACAGTCCATTTTCAAAAATATATTGTAAGTCTTGCTGAAATTATAATTTAGAAAGACAACTAGCACATGCCACATTTTGACACAGTGGCAAACACTGAGGCATGAATTTGTGCCTCCTGGTTAATGAGTTGTTTATGTAGACCTCAGAATGCAACTTCTGCCATCCTTGTGCACAGCCGAATGTCTTGTAAATGTATCATTGCTTAGGAAAAATCAAGTTCTCTCCATTCACCCCCGTGGCGGCTCTCTCAAAATCCCCTCGGTGCCCGATCATGGCAGTACACACGGTGCTGCACTCACTGGACATGAGACAGCTTGGCCATCCAGGACGATGCCAGTGTTGACATTTCTCCATGCAGATGTGACTGCCAACACCCAGGCATTTAGAGCCACTCACTCCCCAGGACAGTTACCATAAAGCCGCCTGTGGATAGACGTCTACACCTTAAAATGAGCTCGTTCCTTTTTGGTGCCTCAGTAACTTAACATCCTGGGATGAAGTCCAGGATTGGCCTGCCTTAAACTAATTTATGCTCTGCAGTGAATATTA